GGATCACAAGGTCAGGAGTTTGAGACCAGCCTGGTCAATATGGTGAAGCCCCGTCTCTACAAAAATACAAAAATAAGCTGGGCACGGTGGCAGGTGCCTGTTATCCCAGCTACTGGAGAGGCTGAGGCAGGAGAATCACTTGAACTCGGGAGGTGCAGGTTGCAGTGAGCCAAGATCATGTGACTGCACCTCTAACTGGGTGACAGAGTGAGACACCATCTCAAAAAAAAAAAAGAAAAGAAAAAATAGAAAAGGAAAAGGGAAGTGGAGGGGGAGGAAGGGCAGAGGCAGAACTGTTCATTTCTGTGGTCAGGAAGGTTTTTGGATTGGAGACCTTCAGGCGTAAAGGAAGAAGTCCCCAAAGCCAACCTTGGCCTCTCCCTTACCCAGGGGTTCTCGATCTCTGCCCTAGTGATATTTTAGCTGGATAATTCTTGGTTGTGTGGGCCGTGCTATGCATCATAAGATGCTGAGCAGTATCTATGACGTCCAACCACTAAATGTCAGTAGCACCTCCCAGCTCTTGCTGTGACAACCAAAAATTCCACTGAGGTTGCCAAGTGTTCCCTGGGGGTCGAAATCACTCCTGATTGTAAATCACTGCCTTTCATCGATAGATAGATAGATAGATAGATAGATAGATAGATAGATAGATAGATAGTGGATTGATAGATAAATCGATAGATGATAGATAGATACATAGATAGATAATGGATTGATAGATGAATAGATAGATGATAGATAGATAGATGATAGATAGATAGATAGATAGATAGATAGATAGATAGATAGATAGAGCCGGGCGCGGTGGCTCATGCCTGTAATCCCAGCACTTTGGGAGGCCAAGGTTGGCGGATCACAAGGTCAAGACATCGAGACCATCCTGGCCAGCACGGTGAAACCCTGTCTCTACTAAAAGTACAAAAATTAGTTTAGCATTATGGTGTGCGCCTGTAATCCCAGCTATTTGGGAGGCTGAGGCAGGAGAATCGCTTGAACCCAGGAGGCGGAGGTTGCTGTGAGCTGAGATCATGCCACTGCACTCTAGCCTGAGTGACAGAGTGAAACTGCATCTGAAAAAATAGATAGATAGATAGATAGATAGATAGATAGATAGATAGATAGATAATACACATGATAGATAGACACATAGATAGATAGATAGATAGATAGATAGATAGATAGATAGATAGATAGATAGATAGCTGAACAGATGGATAAATTGTTACAGAGAT